ATACCGAGTAAGAAATTTTTTGAAAGGCCACCTGCTTTCTGGTCTAATGCCTTGACAATCTCTTCAGAAACCGTATGCTGGCCAGTTTTCGTCATCGCCACCCTTGCGGGAGCCAGGCAGTCATTTCTGCAACCTTCTCGATTATCAAGCAGTGCTTATCTCTGGGTTGCTTCCCACGGGTGAAAGTTGTCCACACATCCTAAGATATTTACCGGCAGACGGAGTCAAATGCTTGCCGTGACACTCAGATTCAGGAATACAATCCTCATCGGCCACGCATATGGTATGTGGTGCTTCCGGTTCACTTCCAACGCCTGATTTGTTCTTGTCCTTTCAGATTTGGCCGTTGTCACGGTTATGTTCGTCACTCATGATCATATGGAGGAAGAGCATTTTCCTGGCAGCTGCGTTTCCCCTTTTCTTTGAGGCATTTTACATATCAGCGGCACTGGTCCTCTCGATGATATTCATGGCCGTCATGTACGTATAGCATTACGGCACCTCCAAGAAGTTCTCCATGAAGTGGCTGCTCACCCCGGGTCCGAGCCTTGGCATCGTCCGAGTTCCTGGAGTAGGCCTGATTTAAACAGAGCCATCTTCTCACAAACCTCCCGGCGTTTCACCAAGTCCTCGTCTTCGTCTGCATCAAGTCCGTGCCGGTGCCTCACGTTCCACCGCCATCGGCAGGATCGAGCGTATCGTCCAGATGGAGGACGCGCACCCTTGGACCCCCTCGAGCACCGAGGTGTCCGTGGATGGGAGGATGACTGTGGTGGAACTCCGCAGTGCTCGAGGAGCAAGAGCTGGAGGAGGCGGAGCTCCCTCGGCTGGACAACAAGAAGAGGGTGAGGTTCGAGCTCCCAAAGGCCGTCGTCCATCATGAGGTTCCGTCCATCAAGGCGAAGCTCCCTCGGCTAGACAACTCCCAAAGGCCGCGGTGGAGATGGATCTGTCCATCAAGGCGGAGCCAAGGAAGCCATGGCGTACGTGCTGGGACACTCTTTTACGTCAAGGCGAAGAAGGCATCGTCCTTTGTGAAGAAGTTTGCCGTTGCGGAAGAACTGCCGGAACCAGCATGCTTGATCGAGGTGGGCATGAGTGAGTTCCAACGTTTGGATGCGTGTTACCGCTCATCTTAGTGTGTTTTCTTTTGCTATAGTTTCTTTTTTCTCATTTGATATATTATTTTTTGCTGCAATCTCTTCTCATCTCAGTATATATTGGCCTTTTTGCTACAATCGATCTTTTTTCTTTTTCAGATTCTTAAATTTCAGTTTCCACTTGCGTAAAATCTATCCACTCCTGGCAAGCTTAAGATCACAAATCCTTGGAGAATAACGAGCTTACGACCTCTCCCTTTCTTTTGGAAGATCATAAGAACGAAAAGAAACGTGTGATTGCCTTGTGCTTGGAGAGCCCCATCTTGTGCACGGCCGCGAATCCAGTCGCAGTGGCAGCGGATGGCCGAGGACTTGGATCTCCGCAAAGCTCCCACGATTGACGGACAGCCTTGCCGTTCCCAGGTGAGGAGCCCATGTTCATGGGTTCTTCCTGGCACCACACAACATCCGCGTCTACAAGAGAAACCGCTCCGCAAGCTTTCTTACGCTTGAGTTCTTTTTGGAGAAGATCGTAAGGAACCGGGCACAGCTGCTCTACGCGGCAGATAGCCACGTCCTTTGCTCCAACGCGCTCCTTTCCTCGTCGTACCTGGAGAAAAAGCTCAGTCATTGTTTTCCTCCACAAACCAAGAAGTGCACTATTTCCGAAGGGAGTGATAAAGGGATAGGTAAAAGAGCGTCGCGTCACACAAACCTGCAAAAAGCTTTCCAGCCTCGCACTCGAGTGTTGTGGCCCTTGTCCATCATAACCGTGTGGCAGCCAGCATGCACACAAGTCCTGTTTGACGCAACCACTTGTCTTCTCCATAGCTCAAAAACTGATCACCTGCGCACCATTGACGACGTCTCCAAACTACGGGTTTTCCATTGAATCCATATTCCGAGAGCGAGCTGCATTAAAATCTAGAATAACAGGAGAAAAAACGTGTTGCTCACGATTGGGCAGAACGTGGTCAAGGGGGCAGTATCTTTCATACCACGGCATGTCTCTGCAAGGAGCGTTGCGAACGCAAGTGCCTCAGCTGTAACTTCCCGTCTCAATCATGTTGCTCACACACCCTTTTGATCGCTCTATGCGGGGTAAACGAGGGAGGAATTTTCTTGCCAACCTCTGGTTTGACACTGCAGTCAGAATATAAGAAACAAAGACGAAAGACTAAACTTACCCGTTGTTTCTTAACCGTGACAACTGCTCCGGACCCATGAAGCCCGTCCAATATCAGTCCTGTGACTTAGGAGCGTAGTCTTCGCTTAAAATCGCATACACTTTGTCATGGATATTTTTCACGGTCTCCTCACTGATCGTCATGACCAATTTCAACGAGTTTCTTCTGGACCTGCACCAAAAAAAAAAAAAAAAAAAACAATCCATCAAGCACCAGAAAATCGAGACAAAGTTGTACTTACCTGGTACATTTTTGGTCGAGTGAACAATGGCTCGTCGATCGCATTGTGACCCCACAACATCCGACTTGAACTGGCACCTCCATTTTGCGGCCAGGCATGGACGACAGCTCATCTCCTTTCAGGGGAAAGATAGGAGCGTTCAAACCCTTGGAAACGTCCGTGCAGTAAGGCGAGGAGCGACTGTTCGGTGGTGTAGTTTGGAAGATCGCTCAAGTGCAGCATCACCTTGGCCAGAGAAGCTATCTCCATGAAGCAAAATCGTCATGTTCTTCTTCCTCTCGTAGTCGTCGCCACAACCGGGTCCACAGCTTCCAGGTGACTGGGATTCGCAACGAGCGAGAGATGGATGTGCTTCCCGGTCCTGGTCGGTCTGTCGTAGGACGTTCCTAGATGGTACTTGACATCACCACTTCCACTGTAGCCACCCTCTCGCTAAATGTTTGCCGCAGAGGCTTCCTACAACGTTTCCCAGCACGTTGGAGCTGCCACGATGAGGCATACCGATGACAAGGCTCGCAGCTCCCGAGCGATTTGCTCCTTCATGTCTCACAACCTTCCAGTCCAAACCTTTTGGCCGTCCACTTAAGTTCCTTCTGAAACTTTGTCCCCTAGATGAGACGATCGAGGATGGTAATCTGCCTTTGCTTGGAATACTTGCGCTCGATCTTCTCCCGCAACCAGTTGCACTTCTCTCGATCCGGGATGTGCTCATCGTCCCACGCTTGCTCCAGCCGCTTCAAGATCGCCTGGAGAGTCTGGACTGGACGATTGACAAAAACCCGGACATCCTCCACACCCCGATAAAAAAAACTCACGATCCAGATTGGTCTCGGATTGAGCAGCTTGGCTTTCGTGTCACCCGGTACGCTCTCAGCAAGCACATACTCTCCTCCGGACAACCCTGGCCTTAACTTGTCGTCCACGCTCTTGGAATCGCCCTCTTCGAGATAGGCCGTCAAGGAAATTATCCGGGGGCACGGCCCAGGGCTTTAGTTCCAAGAATGGAGAGCATTGGCGCTGGCCTCTCGCATCACGATCCCTGCTTCTGGTAGTTTCGGATCGTTTGGCGACAGGGCAATGGCGTCTCTTGCAGCAATCGGGCGGAGGAAAGGTAGGATTTGTCATGCTCTTTCTCTCGACCTGGCACTTGCGATTTAGATCGGCGAGGAGCAATGTCGTGAGCACTGGCAGCTTGTCTCTCCATGTCGCGGGTAACTAGCGAGATTTCGTTTCCTTTTGATTTCATATCTTATCGCAGGAACATACAAGATGTTTGGATGCACCAAGAGGTGTGGAGAGAGCATGGCTTTAGCTCGCTCGCCTCCCACTTGTTCCAGGAAGGAGTAAAAGCTGGTCCGAGTTCCTTCTCACGCCAAGGTGGTGGTCTCCCATCCACTCCATTGCCGACGAGCTTCATTCCAGGCATGCTTTCTTCATCCCGGATTCGAACACCGGTCGTCGACGATCGTGTTACAATACAGGACTCGAACTTTGTCCGCGACCGTTTTACACTGGTTTAAAAATCCATGGGCGTGAACCGTACAAGTACCGGGGGAATGCATCCACCTGAGGTAAAAATCCTCACTTTTACACGTTCATCACCGATCAGCTCTTCCATGATGCTCAGCGCAAGGGCCGTGTCGACGAGGAGGAACGTCATGCTGCTCCAGCTCAAGGTAGGCAATCCTTCGAGATTCACATACAAGGTGGCCTGGATTTGCTAGCGTGTGGTTTTGACTGCGTTCTTTGCGCCTTCTTTGGAGCCGGAAGCCTCCATTCCCTCCGATTTTCCTCTACTACTACCCTTGCGACCTCTTGCGCTGCTGTGGCTGGATTCTTGCTCTTCTTTCTGAGCAAAGGCGCCGGCTTCCCCCTGTGGATTGCGAGCGTGTCTTGTTCCCCTGTTGTCTTTGGCGTTAGCATTCTTTTCTTCGAGTTAGAGGCTTCCATTTTCTGTGGCCTGCCTCGATTCTCGTGTGTTTTGCGTCCTCTTCGTGTTTTCTCGCTAGTAGGGGCTCTTCTCTCGGAGTGTTCTCGTGTTCTTGCGTCGTAGGGGCTGAGCTAGCGTTTGAGTTCTTTTGCTTTCTTGCTTGCTCCCTTTGCGTGCTTTTATCTTTCTCCTTTGGTTGCGCACTAACTTAACTCTTGTTGCCAGCTGAGGAAAGCTTCCTTCTCCGGATGACGGACGCGCTGATGCTGAAGATTTACGAGGCTTGGAGCTCATCTTACCGAACGTCCAAGCCAAGCGCTCCACAGGTGGAAACTGAGCCTACTGGCCAGAAGGAGAGCGCTGTGGAAAGCAAGCGGAAGCGCCCGGCGAGGAATGCTTCTACCGATCAGAAGCAGACCAGCTTCGCGAAGAGCGCATCGGCCGACCAGCTGCGTGCTCCTGCCGACCGGAAGCGGAGCCACGATCTCATCAAAGAAGCCGGAAAAGCAGGGAGGCTGGAGGACGCGGAGAAACTATTCAGTAGCATCTCTTCTCCAAATGCGTACTCGTACAACGCCATGTTGCAGGTTTACGCGGTGAACAAGAAGCCTGGCGAGGCCTTGGAGCTCTTCCAAAGAGCCACCACGAGAAATGCCGTTTCGTGGAATATCGTGCTTAATGCGAGGTGAGCACGGTTTTGCTAGAGTCTTACGTTTTAACTCTTCGTCTGTTTGTTTTATCAGCTTCTATGGAGCTCTCCCCTGCTTCATGCGGTATCCTTGCTGGGATAGCTACTCTTGCAATTGCAGAGCTCAAGGCTGCTGTTGCCTCGTCAGACCTGTCGCTGCTGGAGGACGTCAGAGCACAGTACTTCAAGGCCTTTTGCTACGATGATGGATATGTCGACGCGATTATTCGAAGCAGCTATACGTCTCTCATGCACAGCCTTGGTACCCATGGTCATCTCGTTGATGTTGCCGAGAATGTCTACAAGCGAATCCCCTCTCCGGATGCTGCTGCCTTCAACGCTCTTCTCGCGGTTTACGTGAAGAACGGCTATTACTCGCGAGCACAGAAGCTCTTCGCCGAAGGAGGGGGTGACAGGATCGACACCAGGTCGTTCAACATTATGATTTCCAGTTTGCCGCTGCTTGAAGACTCGGAAGCTCTTTTCGAACGGGCAAAGGAGCAGGATGTCTTTACCTGGACAAGCCTTGCGTCAGCCTATGTCCAGAACAACAGGTATAGTTCGCTTTTCTTCTTCTTTCTTCGGCTCGGCAGATTGTATCTTGTTTTCCAGGCCAAAGGCAGCAGATTTGACGATCCGGAGGATGATCCAAGAAGGCATCGAACCAACAAGAGTCGCGTTTCTCGTCTGGGTTGCTTGTGGTGAAGAGCTTGGAACAATTGTACGCGACTTCGACTTCGTTCCGGATGCCTCGCACTATGGCCAAGTGGTCGTCAACCTTGCCCGAGGTGGGAAGTTTGCAGCGGCCGTGGAGCTTGCAAGCTGTTTGCCAGACGATCCCGTGAACTGGATCGCGGTTCTCTCTGCGGCAAGAATGGTTGACCACGTGGTCTACGGCGAGATTGCAGCAGAGAAGCTTCTGAGGCTCAAGAGCGACGATGACAAGTCCCCCACCGTATACATCATGCTGGGCAGCATCTACTACAACACGAAGCAGTAAAAGAAGCTCAAAGAAATCCTGGGAAAGATCAAGAAACTCAAGTTGAGGAGGATTCCGGGCATCAGCACGGTCGAAGCAAACGGCATTGGGAGGAAGTTTGTGGCAGGGGATGAGTACGAGCCAGGGATTCATCTTCTTCTACAGCACTGGGACGACATAATGAAGAAAGAGCACGGATACAAGCCAATTCTCGCCGACGTTCTCGAGGAAGAGAAAGAAGAAGGGATGTGCTTCCACAGCGAGAAGCTTGCGATTGCCTGGGCGGCGAGCGAGACGGCAACGGGGCCAATAACTGTGACCAAAAACCTCCGTGTGTGTCGGAATTGCCATAGCGCTACTATGGCAATGTCCAAGATCATAGGACGCAAGATTGTGGTGAAGGATGCCGCGACTACGCACACCATCGTTGACGGCCGCTGCACTTGCAATGGTAAGTGGTAAGCTTTCTCTTGATCTAAGCTAGTTGCAAGGCTTTTCTAATTCTCTAACGAGCTTTTAAATTGTGGCACTAATCACGAGGAATCTGAATCGGTACTTGAAAACTACTTGAAATGGATGAGTCAAGAGCTTGACAACGAGTGGAAGGAGGTAGCAATTCAAAACTTTGGCCAGAAACAAAGATGTGCAAATACACAAGCCAAATGGTGATAGAATTGGATCAATGGTAGTGGACTTTGGAAAATACAAGGGTAAGCGACTTACAGATCTTCTTCACGTTTATCTTGAATGGATGTCAACTGAAATGTACACCCATTGGGGTCGTCATGCGAAGGAGCTCTTATCAAGATGTCCTTCCAACTCACATACTATGATTGATGGGAAGAACATCCATTCTGTAGAGACGCTGAAGAAGATGATCAGGTCGCGCAAAGATTTAGAAGAAGCAAATAGAATCCGCGAATGTGTTCGTCAAAGCAGTTATCGGAATGACAAGTTTGTGGCAAATCTGTTGATTGAGATGTTTGGATCATGTGGGAGTTCAGACGATGCTCGTTTGGTGTTTGATGAAATCAAGCAGCCAAACATCTACTCTTGGAATATTATGCTTAAAGTATACACTCAAAACGGCCGGGTAGAAGATGCTTGGATCTTGTTCGAGAAGATGGAAGCCAAGAGTTTGGTGTCTTGGAACATCATGTTAGCAGCTATGGCTAAAAAGAATCAACTCGTTGAGACAAAGGAGTTTTTCAATCAAGTGCCCGAAAAGGATGATTACTCATGGACCATACTCTTGGGTGCATACATGGATTATGGGGAAGTAGACGAGGCAAGGAGAATTTTTGATGGGCTGAAGGTGGCAAACGTTGTTACATTGAACACAATGGTCCAAGGGTATGCCTAGAACGGGCAACTTAATCGAGCTCGCGAGATGTTTGATGGTGACACCAAGAGTGCAGCATCATGGAATGTGATGATCTCTGCATACGGAAAAGCAAGAAGCTGAGGAGATGTTTGAGTCAATGCCAAAAGAGCTCAGGAACCAGATCACTTGGAATTCAATGATGAAGGAGCTTGTACGCAATGGTCGATTAGTCCATGCGAAAAATATATTTAACACCATGCCCACGAAAGATGCTATTTCTTGGACGTGTCTACTCGAGGCACTGTGTCACGTAGGTGGAAAAGAAAGTTTGGCAAAAGCTCTCAAAGTGTTGGAGGAGATGCCGCATGACAAAACAGTGATTCACTGGACGATGATGCTGGAGGCCTATTCCAATACCGGGGACGTTGACTCCGCGAGGGCCATGTTTGACCGGAAGTGGCGTCAGTCAATGCGATGCTGTGGGCTTATGCCCAAAACGGCCATCTTCAATCAGCGGTTGACTTTTTTTACGACAAATCTAAAAACAAAGATATTGTCACACACAATATAATGCTCATTGTGTATGCAGCGTGCAGGAGGTATGATGATGCAAAGGCATTGTTTGCCAACACGCTTAACAAAGATGTGTACAAATGGACATCCATGATCAGGGCATGCACAATGATAAGGGATGAGACACATGTGATTCAAACCTTTAATCAGATGATTTTGGATGGAATTCTACCCAACAGAGTAACATTCATTGCTATACTTGTGGCAAACAGCCAGGTTTTGGATGTTGAAGAGAGCAAAAGCCTATTTTTCACGCCCATGGAACCCGACTTTGATATATTGAGCATTACGATTGCATGGTTGGGATGCTTGGGAAGGTGAAGCGGATGGAAGAGGCCCAAGAACTTATTGAGACGATGCCCTATGAGTGGGATGCAAGCATTTGGATGACATTTCTCTCTTCCTGTAGGAAGCATGTAAATGCTGAGCACGGAAAATATGCTGCGGAGCAGATATTTGCCATGGACCCAAACAATGCCACCCCATACATTATCCTCACCGAGATATACGGGAAAAGCGGAAGGACTGATGAAATTGCTGGGCTGAGAAAGATGGTGACAGAGAAGGGCTTGACGAAGCTTGGAGCAATCAGCCGTGTCCAACTTGGTGGAAAAATGCACACATTTCATCTGGGGGATTGGTCTCATCCTAATATAAAAGAAATATGGGGTGAGCTCATGAGGTTAATGAAGCTGGCAAAAGAGAATGGGTATGTGAAAGAAGAGAACTTTTGGCACCTCAATTGCAACAAAGAGGAGGTCCATAGTGAGAAGTTTGCAATTGCATATGCATTGCTTCAAGAATCTCACAAATCGAATGTTCTTGTCAGTAATAACATGTGCAGTGATTGCCATGCCTCAGCAAAAGTGATTCCTGAGATTGCTGAAAAAGGAAAGAATATCTTTGTTCAAGATGGTCAACAGCTTCACTGTTTCGAAGGAGGCTGTTGTTCTTGCAGTGATGCATGGTAATCTTACTACATTTCATAAGTTGGCTGTTTTATTCCACAGTATATTTTAAGTTCAACCGTGGTTTAAACTAGTTGCCAACATTTGTTAATTGGTTGCAACATATAGTGGAGGTCTTTCTAGGTGCAGTCCTCTTCATCCAGTCTCGTCCTAGTGCACGATGCGAGTAAGCTCTCTCCTCCCTTTCCAAGCATTTTTTCTCAAGACCTAAGATCGATTGTGGCAGTGTGATTGATTTCATGGATTCTCGAGGCCAGGCATGAGCGAGAGATGCCCGTGGCAGATAAATGTAAGTGGTAAAGGGGAAATGCCAGATCCTGAGCTCACAGTCTCTTGCCTTGCAGCTTGGTGATCAGATCATCCAAAGCGCAGGAAAGCAGCAAGTTGGTAGCAAAACACAATTGGTTTTTCTTTTTCTTTCCTGACACATTTTGATGTAAGCATTTATATAGATTTTGTGAAAGACAATGTAACAATTGTCAGTTTCTATGCTTCCATGCAAGTTTAAGGTAAAATCTTTTTGCTAACAGATGATTAATCTTCCTTTTATCTTTCTCGGTGGTTTTTTCACACTTGGCACTTGTCATGCTTTGTTTTGCAGGTCCTGTAGCATTGGTGTGTATTGTCTGGATTTCCTTGTGGGCCGGAGGCCTCACATCGAGCTCATGTGAACTTCTAGATGTGCTTGAATCCGATCTTGTCATCACGAGCACCAAACAAAAGGCCCTTTACCACTCACATTAATCTAGCTCCAGCAAGCAGCAGTGAGCAGTAGCGAGCAGCACAAGTCGAGTAAGCAGCAACAAGTAGTGGAAGTTGAGCAAGGGGCAACACAAGCAATAGTGAAGTAGTGTGAGGTAGTAGACCAACAAGAGCAGCACAATGAATTCAACTATAAATAAAATTAAATCTATAACTTTGTGAATTATAAAAGTGAAACATTCAACATGTCATTACATATTAAATTTCAAATGATTTTAATTGTGAGTTTACATGGAATTCATAATATTTTGCCACATACTAACAGTTATATCAGCGTCATCATCTACTTAAATATTAAAAGCCATTTAAATCTTGCTACATTACTATCTATATAGATAATGAAAATACAGAATCAAGATTAGCTTTCTCTGTGATCTGGTTTAGGGTTTAAGGTTTTTAGTGATACTTTTGTTATGTAATCATACCTCTCATCAAATTGGAGTTTGGAGCCTCTTCCAGCTTCAGGTAGAAGAAGTTTCCTCTGACTCCAAAGTTGTGCAGGACAAGGCTCTGATTCGGAAGCAGCAGCATATGCTTGTTATGCTTGAAGGGCTGCACGAGAATGGCAGCAGTGAGCTGTCGGCAAGGTGGAGGAGGTGATCCAAGGGGAGATGGTCTACATGAATCTTGAGCAGCAACAGTACTGGCAGGGCCTTCCATATCTCCAGATCCAGTGGTACCAGGCACTGATCACTCCCTTCCTCCGGAGAGCGATCTTCTTCTTGACTTAGTGTTACTAGCTTGAAATAGTGGTTGTTGTTCCCTTTGAGAGGTGGAATGAGGCTGACTTCCAAACAATACTATCTTCCAATGCTCTTCCTCAGTTGCAATTGCAACTGTCTCTGCCATTTCTCCTCCCGAATTGTATTATATTTTTAAATACTAAATAAATATTTGTTAAGAATTTAAAGCAAGCAAAAATATTTTAACTTTCCTAACAAAAGGTATGGCAAGAAATATATGATTGGGCATCTATATCAACAGATACGTGATTAATTTGATAGATTTATTTTCTTAGCATCATATTCTTTTGAATCACGCAAGTATTTACAAATAAAAAGCTAGCCCTTACCAATGACTGTCTCAAAAACATCATGTCTGTTTTCAGAACACTTTTTAACATTTTCATAGCTTTCCTATTTTGGAACCAGTAGTTTGGTTTAGGGCATAGTGGCGATACTGAGCATATTCTGTTAGGGCTCTTTTCTTTCTCTGGCGCACGCGTTTTCTTTCTCCGCGAGTTCTTCTTGACTCCCTCCCTCGATGTCCGTTGACGTGATTCTCATCCGGCTACTTCCACACACGGAGTAGCAGCAGCAGCGTAGCTTGATCGATCGCCCGGCGCCTCACTCCAAACCAAGGTCAGTCCCTGGCAGAGATTTCTCCCTCTGCATGCTGAATTTCTCGCCCGGGGCTGTCGATCACACAGCCCTAGTCTATCCCAGGCCTCTAGATTCCCCTTTTCCATTTTTTTTCTCGCGTTGGATTCCTTTCCAATGGCGGGGACTTCCACGCGCCTCTATGGCCCTCTGGCAGCTCTCGCCGCTGGTCTGGCAACAGCGATATCATCGTTCGAGATTGCTCCTCCTCGTCCTCGTCCTGCCACTCTCGGCCCACCGCCATACCTCCTCTACGCAGCTCATCCCTCCATGCCAGTTCCTCCATTCTCGAACGCCTACGTGAGAGAAAAATCTCCTCTTTCTTCCTCGATTGAATCCAAGAGCCCCTCGGTCGATCAGGTAGTCTGGACAGTCCATCGCTTTGTCTCCGATTCACTCAAGACGTGTTCTTGCTCGTCGCTCCACTTCTTCCCGATCCTTCCAAGCCTGGCTGTTCTATCCGCCACTGATGGCTCCCTCTTGCTACGCTCGTCTCCATGCCAGCCACACTATCGCAGCGTTGTTTCTTCTTTCTCCTCGTCGTCCAAGCCCAGCTATCCTTCCATTTTTTCTCCGACTTTCGCCGCCTCAAAGTACATTCGTTCGTGGCACTCGAAGAGCTCCTCCAAGCCGCAGGAATCCACGAGAGACGAGAACGAGAGGAAGAACTCCAAGGAGGTGACGGTGGTTTTGCTGGGATGGCTTGGAGCAAAGCAAAAGCACCTCAAGAAGTATGCCGACTGGTACACGGAGCGTGGGATCAACGCCGTCACCTTTGTCATTCCAATGAGCGACATGATAAGTTTCAAGGCTGGTGGAAAGGCCGAGCAGCAAATCGATCATCTGGCGCACCACCTCTTGGCCTGGATGGAGGAGGAGGAAAACGGCAAGGAAAAGCATCTGTTCTTTCACACCTTTAGCAACACTGGATGGCTAACGTAACTTTCCTTCTTTTCGCAGTCTCTTCAACGTGCTAACGAGTTATTGTTCTTCTTTTCCAGGTATGGAGTCCTTCTCGAGAGGCTGTTGCAGAAGAACAATAAGCTGCTGGACAAGGTGAAGGGATGCGTCGTGGATTCGGCCCCGGTCGCAGAGCCTGATCCTCAGGTAAAGGCTTCGGAGCTTTCTCTTTTCAAACAGGAGCTGAAGTTTGTATCAAATGGTCAGGTCTGGGCATCCGGTTTCTCTGCCGCGTTTCTCAAGAAAAAGAGCGTTACCACTCGCAAGGTGGACGTGTTGGACATCCTCAAGCACAGCAGCGAGGAGGCGCACGAAACTCGGCTCCAGGCCGACGTTACGGAGCAAGCGCTAGTGAGCATGCTCGAAAAATTCTTCTCGGTTTTCCTACAGCTTCCGTATGTAAAGAAGTGAGTCTTTCCTGTTTTGATTCATCGAGGCAGTAATCCCTTTTTTGCATCGCAGGAGATTGTCGGAAGTTGTCACCATTCTTTCGAAGCAGCAGCCAAAGTGCCCGCAGCTCTACATTTACAGCACCGCGGACAGGGTGATCCCGGCCAAGTCTGTCGAGTCATTTATGGAAGAGCAGCGAAGAAGTGGGCGCACTGTCAAGGCTTGCAACCTGCTGTGGTCACCCCACGTCGATCACTTTAGGAGCTTCCCGGATATCTATAGCTCGCAGCTCAACATTTTCATTCGTGAGTGCCTCTCGCAGTGGTCGCCACAAAAGTGTGCGTGACTACCATTGATTCTATCATGGCACATAATTTCTTTTTAAAGTGTATCACACCATTCGATAGCACATAATTTTTGGTTTGTTTTAAGCAAAGCAGGGTGGTAGTACCTAAAATATGATTGTATTTATTTAGATTACTTTTACATTTATAATTTATAGTGAGGTCCAAGTGTACGGTTATGATGCCATATACTAATATTAGTGGAGTGGGTGGTTTCAATTTGAACCACTCATTTCCATATATAAATTATAGTTTTTAAGTTAATAAATATGTAATTTTTTATATTCCCTTTCCATATTTTATGCATTCTTATAAAGGGTATCTTTGATTGTCCTTAAGAAGTGCTTAGATTTGGGATTTTAGTTTAAATTTAACTTTTAGATTTAACTTTTTCCATTTTTTTTTCTTTTGTTCTTTTCTTTTGGGATTTTAGTTTAGATTTAGCTTTTGCATTATCTAAATCTCCCTTTCCTTTTAGTTTTTTTCATTTTTTTTTTTTTTGCTTTTTCCTTTCCATTCACCTTCATGGCAGAGTAATAGCCTCCTCCTCTTTTAACTCTAGAGTAGAGTTGGTGCAATTATTCAATGTTATATGATTGCAATTGAACAATTAAACTCAATTGATGGTGGCATTCATAGCACATGGTACAACTTCTCCTGCTCTTGGTGCCAATCCTTGCATTTGGCTAGAATTCTTTCATGGGAATCTTGGGGATGATGTATATTATTAATTCGATTATTTTATAGTGATTGCCACATATCATTTTTGGGATGATGCTCGACATTTGCATGAATTTCTCACGTGTCTCCAAGGGATGGTGCTGTAGTGGTATAATGGTTTGAGCGCAATTACTTATGGGGATTTGAGTATTTTCCTAAATGTCTTTAAATGTATATTCAGACATGCTGACAATTGTGATGATGCCTTCCAACAATTACATCATTTTCGTCAAGGACCATTTGAGTTAATAATACAATTTAGCATTCGTTTCTAAAGCTTCTTGCTTCATGCAAAGCCAAATATGTCAAAGTGGATCAAGCTGGGAATATTGTGATTAACACTTCATCAAGATCTTGTAAAATTGGTGTATGCATTTGCTTCAGCCACCCTTGACGATACCCTTCACTTGGCACAACATTATGAAACGTCACCTCTTGCTACATGTCCTTCAGCTCCATTTCCTATGGGAGATGGTTCTGTTTCAATAGAAGTTGATGCTATTACTACTCGAATTCAAAGACAAAGGCAAGGATGTGGTCATGGTTGTGATGTTCGTTGCTATGCATGTGATGAAGTTGGTCAGACTTATCAGTGTTGTCAGCATTTTTTGGATTGGCAGTCTCCATTTCTTTGGTGGAGATCTTGGTGTCAATAACGTCCTATTAATGCTACTGTCGTGGAAGGTTTAAACACCGAGATTCATCCAGGAAACAAGGAGTTGCACAAGTAACGGAGGGACCATGTGCGAATAAATCAATGACCCCTTCATATTTCTTTTGGCAGTATCATCAAGGGGTTTATTTGGCATTAGTTCATCTAGTGTTTACTTTCCAAACTCGTTTTTATAACAAAAGGTCTTTTATTATTCTCTTTATATTGGTTGATATAGATTTGAGTTTATCTTCTATTGCTCGACATGTTGCTACATATTGCCGTTTACATTTGCATCGTACGGCAAAACTAGTTTTTATTCTTTATGGCAACAGTTATATATATACATGTGCACGGAATGAGGCGGACATAGTTATGTGTGTGGGCGATCTCAAGTTTGAGTTGTAGTCATTGCAAGTGATGTTAAATTAATTTTTTGACCTCATCCTTGGTATAGATTGGTTGTAACGCACCTATACCAAATGTGACTTTGAGACTTTCTCCCTTTTGTTTCATACTTCCTTATATTTTATCCATTCCTTTAACTTCTTTACTTCTTTGTCTGTTTGTTTTTTACTTTTGTTTCCCCATTACTTCCTTTTATATTTTTATCTTGTTTCACTCTTCCTTTTGTCGATCCCTCTGATAGTCTTTGTGTTGAGGCAGTTGACCGGCTCATAAAGGAGTATACTGATCTTTTTGAATTTGACCTATCGTCTAGGGCAAAGATTGCCACACATCATTTCATTCCAACTGGAAATGCTTGTTCAATCAAGGTTCTTATTTGTCATTGGTCATCCAAAGAAATCAAGATTTTACATGCAAACGTCAAAAAGATGTTAGAAAATAGTGTTATTTAGAAGTCATAAAGTCCTTGGGCATATGAATTTCATCTTATGACAAAGTTTGATAAGAGTATTCGTTTTTGCATCGACTATTGTTTGTTAAATGAAGTGACGATTCTGGATGTATACCCTTTTCTTCACAATATTGATCTCTTGGATCATCTAAAGAGAAATTGTTAATCCACCAAGCTAGATCTTATTTTTGGGTTTTGGTAAGTACCAATAGCCGAAGAAGATTTAATATTGCTTTTCGTACATCATTTAGTTTATATGAGTTCTTGGTGATGTTATTTGGTTTGAACAACGCTCCAATGACTTTCTAGTGGATGATGGATGAGATTCTTTGCAACATGCTAGAGGTGACTACTAACTTCATTGATGATGTCTTGATCCACTCGGAGGGAATGTGGGAGGAACACATCTGTGATGTTCGTAAAGTGTTAAATTAATTGCAAGAAGTTGGTTTAAACCTAAAGCAATCGAAGTGCATGTTTGGGTCCAAGAACACAATTTATCTTGGGTACCATATTTCTCGTGAGGGTTTGCAAGTTGATCCTAACAAACTTGTGGTTGTTCTAAAGATCTCTACTCCGAAATGTATAAATGATGTGTAATGCTTTCTGGGCAAGATGCAATATCTTGGTTATTTTGTGGATCATTTTTCTAATTGCACTGCACCATTGCGAGTATTGTTGAAGTTATCAACATCATCTTTCATTTGGTCTACACATTATGAGCAGATGTTCATAGATCTCAAGATGTTATTGATGACTCCTCCAGTTTTGGTGTATCTTGATTACACTTGACCTTTCATTTTGCACATGGATGTTTTTGATATTGGTCTTGGAGGTGTTTTGATGCAAGAGAACTTAAGTGTGGCTAGTCAATGCCATCTATTGCATATATAAGCCATACATTACAACCAACAAAGGCAAACTATATCACGACAGAGAAAGAATATTTAGTAGCACTTTGGGGTTTTGAGAAACTTTATGCATATATATATGGTTTTTGGACATTACTGGAAGGTGATCATGTTGTTGTTACTTCATTATTAAAGCAGAAAAACTTAGTTAGCCATATTGTTCAATGGGCTTTGAAGTTTAAGATATATAATTTTGATGTTATTCATCATTTGGGGAGTTCTATGGCTGATGCTGACGCCCTTTCTCAAACTTCTTTTCCTTCTTCACTCTCTTCTCATATTTCTGATGAGCCTGTTATTCCAGCGTTTATGGATTTTCTAAATGAGGATTTTGTGCTGTTCGCAGTTGTTATATTTGATGTTTAGTGTCCACAATATGCATAACAAAATTTACTTTCTCTTGATGAGGTTTGCAGGCTCAAAAGATTGAGCCATGGATTCAAAAACTTTGAGATGGGTTTGAGAATCTTGCATCACTTGCTGATGACTTGTCATTTTGACATTTACATTCTTAATATCATCTTGAAGATGGCCTTCTTTATTTTGTGAGGATAGATCCTAATAATCATTTATGGTTGGTGGTGCCTTAATATTTATTCCATAGTTTCTCCATACTTACCATGATTCTCCTATTCTAGGTGGGAATATGGGACATTGTCGTGCAACAGAGAAGCTACACAAGTATTTCTATTGGCCAGAGAGACAACACATGATGTTATCTGATATGTGTGTAATTGTGTTTGGTGCCAAGCTTGTAATACTCCTTCTTGTGCTACAGAAGGACAGTTAAAGTCAATTGTAGTTTTTTGTCCATTTTGAGTTGGTGGCATTTAATCTTACGAGAGCTTTTCCATGATTGACTACTGGCAATGAGTATGTTATTATTTATTCTGACTATTTAATTTGTTGGGCGAAAGTTCGTGTTTTTGCTAATGCCTTTGCAACTACTGTTAAGTACTTCCCCCTCAATTGAGTGGTGTTCTAACATTGTTGTCCGGAGCAGATTCTTTCGAATAATAATCCCACATTTATAGTTGAAGCATTTCATGTTTTGACGTCTTGGTTGGGGATATACCACATTTTCACAAGTGCTTATGATTCACAAACAGATGGTTTTGTGGAAAAACTCATTTAGACATTCAAAAAGATGATTGCAAAGTATGTGAATTTTCAGCATTCTAATTAGAATGGTTATTTGCCGTTTCTTCAGTATGCATATGTCATAAGGGTGCAAAATTTTGTTAGTGTTTCACCATATAAACTCCTATATGGTCATGATCCAATATTACCAATGGACTTAGATTGTTACCAAAGTACTCCGGGCTGGCTGTCCACAACAAGAGTATTTAGAGCAAAAAGGGCGAAAGATGAACTGTGGGAAAGCAATGCTTTCACTACAACATATATGCCTTGTGTCCTACTGATCAATCCAAAAGCCACAACGCTGGTGGTAGTGCAGCAGCTCCTCCTTTACTGATCCCTGGAACTTTTCTCACTCGCCTCGACATCATCAGGTTCCAGATCATTGAGACCTTGTCCAACCTCCCAATGTGTAATCGATAGAGTACATGTTTGAGAGACCAGTAGTGTAGTAGAGCTCCAGCGCCCTCAAAACTCTTTGCTGCAACTCTCTCAGCACAATCAGCCATGGAAGAGGGAAGCTCCCATCCAAAGCTCACAACATCTGGAAGGAATGGCATTGAGTTTGACAAGCTCCTTTGCACTCAAAGTTCTCCTGGATCGACCCAGGACATCGATCATGCAGAAATATAAGGTACCCCCTCCTCGCCACCATCCCAAAGTATTGGCTGATCAAGACCAAGTGTTCCCAGCTTGGCATGGCTGCACAAAGTTAAAATGCTTTGGAACATCAACTCGTCCGGCTTGACACCCTCAAGATTCATAAGCTGGAAGACTTCCACTGCTCGGTCGCAGTGCCCGTTTTGAGCGTTGGTCGTCCAGGAAACCAAGGTGCGCATCTTCATGCTCTCAAACATGCTCCTGGCAGCGCTCAAGTTGAAACTTGCGT